GATAACAAGATAAGCAGACATTGATGGATGAGAAGATGCGAAGGCTGGAGATGCTGTGGGTGACAGCTGGTGGGGACATGCATGGCACAGTATTCGTAGTGACTCTACAACGTGAGCCGTCCAGGACATCGTTCTTGACTTATCCTGGATCTAAGCCCGCTTTCTGTCTCGCCCACAATAGATCATCTGTATTGTTCTACAGCTTTCTGTATTGTTCTACGGCCTTACATCTGTCCCTGTACGAGACCCATGGAAGCCGTCTCCTGCTGGAGATGACGACAGTACTGATGCGGTCTTGAAGGGAACCATTTATGTAACTGTCATGTTTCAGGAAGACAAAGCGACATCTATGTTTCAGATCACAGAAGACCATTGTACACGTCCTTCAAGGAAGGAGCTATGGGGAGAGGGTGTTTATGATGAAAAGCCATGTCTTTCATGACTCCATGCCAACGGCTGAATACTAGGCAAGTGTCAACTCACCAAAATATGTGAAAGTTCCATCGTTGTAATAATCACCTGGGTCCGAACCTGGGCCTTCTGGGGTGAGTAGCAATGTTTCTTCTTCTTGCTGAGCCACCTGGAATGCTGGACAGCTCTCTTGACAATTATTTGGATGATCCTACCTTGACCTTGCTTGTCCTGAACCTTTCCATCATAAGCACCCCCTACCCATAGCTCCTTCCTTGAAGGACATGTAAAATGGTCTTCTGTGATCCAGAACATAGATGTTGCTTTGTCTTCCTGAAACATGACTGTTACATAAATGGTTCCCTTCAAGACTGCATCAGTACTGTCATCATCTCCAGCAGGAGATGGCTTCCATGCGTCTCGTACAGGGACAGATCCTGGGGCCTTCTGCCGTGAGTAGCAATGTTTCTTCTTGCTGAGCCACCTGGAATGCTGGACAGCTCCCTTGACAATTATTTGGATGATCCTACCTTGACCTTGTTTGTCATGAACCTTGAACCCCTTGCTCCTCCCATGAACTTCCTGATATAAGCCATGTCTCTGCACTTCCTGTTTGCCAGATTATTGTGCTCTCCAGCCAGTATCGTGCTCCTTATCGCCTCTGTTATTATCCATATTTTGCTACCACTCGTTATTGACCCTTGGCTTGTTCTCGACTACGCTTCTGCCTGATCCCAACCTGTGACTTCTCATTACCGACCTTGGCTTGTTCTCGACTACGCTTCTGCCTGATCCGAACCTGCAACTGCTCATTACTGACCTTGGCTTGTTCTCGACTACGCTTCTGCCTGATCTGAACCTGCAACGGCTCATTACCGACCTTGGCTTGTTCTCGACTACGCTTCTGCCTGATCCCAACCTGCGACTGTTCATTACCGACCTTGGCTTGTTCTCGACTACGCTTCTGACTGATCCCAATCTGTGACTGCTCATTACTGACCTTGGCTTGTTCTCGATTACGCTTCTGACTGATCCCAACCTGAGACTGCTCATTACCGACCTTGGCTTGTTCTCGACTACGCTTCTGCCTGATCCCAACCTGCGACTGCTCATTACCGACCTTGGCTTGTTCTCGACTACGCTTCTGCCTGATCCCAACCTGCGACTGCTCATTACCGACCTTGGCTTGTTCTCGAATACGCTTCTGCCTGATCCCAACCTGTGACTGCTCATTACCGACCTTGGCTTGTTCTCGACTACGCTTCTGCCTGATCCCAACCTGTGACTGCTCATTACCGACCTTGGCTTGTTCTCGACTATGCTTCTGCCTGATCCCAATCTGAGACTGCTCATTACCGACCTTGGCTTGTTCTCGAATACGCTTCTGCCTGATCCCAACCTGTGACTGCTCATTACCGACCTTGGCTTGTTCTCGACTACGCTTCTGCCTGATCCCAACCTGCGACTGCTCATTACCGACCTTGGCTTGTTCTCGATACGTTTCTGCCTGATCCCAACCTGAGACTGCTCATTACCGACCTTGGCTTGTTCTCGACTACGCCTCTGTCTGATCCCAACCTGCGACTGCTCATTACCGACCTTGGCTTGTTTACTGACCATGCTTCCGTTTGATCCTTACCTGCTTAATACGCTACTGGACCTCCGCTTGCTCAACTCCTGGTGGGGTGACCCTGAGGACTGCGACCTGGTGCTAACACGCAGCAAAATCCATGTCCACCATCAGGAGCTCTGGTGAACACCGGTTGGTACTTAGACTCCGCACCTCAGGTGATCCCACTCCTCCGCCACGGTGACCTACTTATGTACCTATCCTGCTGGTTTCAGGTGAGCCTTTCCACTGCTATAGCAACTGATCTTTGAGCCTGACCCCTGATCGTGACACCATCGCTGGTGTTGGGTTTTTAACAGGAATGGAAAAGAATAGTGGAATCGAATCCATTATCAAAACATTTTCCTTGGGAGTATCATCCCGAGAGGTAAAATGAGAAAAAAAAAAATGCCTTCATAAATAATAGGGACTTTGGGTGTGCCCACCGAGGAAAAACTATACAATACAATAACCCCAAAAGAATGGAACCAGGTGCATAAAAAGATTTCGATCCAGAAACCGTCGCCATACTCCAAAAACAGATTGGCCTCTTACCAGACAATTTGACCGCACAAAACCAGTCAGCAAGCGCAGTGTGATAGAACATCAACACAGCAAATGACTTTTGGAAGAAATTCTCTCCCAGATGAAAGATAACTTCTCCACCTTTAAAGATCTCCGAAATAGAAGAAACTCCCATCCGACAGTCAGGAAATAAGTAAAAAGAAAAGGCAACTCGTAGCGCAATAGTTAAATTAAACTTTGCAAATTTATCCCGGATCCATGTACATCAAAATGTAAGATCACCAGCACTGAAAAACAGAAAGTTTCAAACCAACAAGATGGGCACTGTCCTTCCACAGCACAGTGACGTCACATGCCGAGGCTCCACCCAATGCATTTTGTCATCAGAAAGACGTCATCAGGGAACTTTATATGGATTTTGAGTGTGCCCACCGAGAAAAACGACACAAAACAATAACCACAAAGTATATATAGTGCTGTGAAAAAGTATTTGCACCCTTCCTGATAGATAGATATATATATATATATATATATATATATATATATATTTTTTTTTTTTTTTTTGCATATTTGTCACGCTTAAATGATTCAACAAGCAAGCTTTAATATGACACAAAGACAACCAGAGTAAATACAAAATGCAGCTTTTAAATGAGAATGTAATTTATTAAGGGAAAAAAAGTTGTACAAACCTGCCTGGCCTTATGTGTATAAGTAATTCCCCCCCCCCCCCCCCCTTTACCACATCATGCATGAACTGTGATTAACCAAATTTTTTAAAAAGCCGAGTTAAATTTTACATGCCACACCCAGGCCTGATTACTGCCAGACCTGTTGAATCAAAAAATCACTTAAGTAGCAGCGGTCTGACAAAGTGAATCACGCTAAACAATCTCAAAATGCAACATATGCTGCGATCTAAAGACTTAAAACTTGTACAGAAAAGTCCTAAAACATGTATTGACTCCTGCTTGAATTAGTCCATCCATTACCAGTTTACCACAAAGCCTTTGTCTACGCATTTTGTGGCTAAACCGCTTCTTCAGGACTGGACAAAAAAAGAAGATACAGTTATTCTCGAAAGATTTCCCTGAAGCTATCTGCTTCAGTCAGGCAAGTATCCTTCTCCTGGCCACCGCCAAACCCAGACACGTCCATCGGACTGCAAGACAGAGAAGCGTGATTGGTCAAATCCAAAGAACACGTCTCCATTGCTCTAGAGTCCAGTGGCGGTGTGCTTTACACCACAGCATCCGACGCTTTGCGTTGCACTTGGTGATGGAAGGCTTGGATGCAGCTGCTCGGCCATGGAAACCCATTCCATGGAGCTCTCTACGCACTGTTGTTGGGCTCATCTGAAGGCCACACCAAGTTTTGGAGGTCTTTAGCTATTGACTCTGCAGACAGTTGGCGAATTCTGCGCACTGTGCGCTTCAGCATGCGCTGACCCCGCCCTGTCATGTGACGTGGCCTACCACTTGGTGGCTGAGTGGCTGTTGTTCCCAGTTGCTTCCACTTTGTTATAATCCCACTAACAGTTGAGCGTGGAATATTTAGTAGCCAGGAAATGTCACAGATGGACTTATTGCCCAGGTGGCCACCTATCACGGGACCACGCTTGGAGTCACTGAGCTCCTGAGAGTGACCCGTTCTTTCACCAATGTTTGTAGAAGCTGTAATGTACCGCCTAGCGGTACCTCTAGCAACCCACGAGATAGGATTCCCCAGAGCGCGGAGTCTAAGTCCCAGTCTGCTTGTTCACCAGGGCCCCTGATGGTGGGGATGGACTTGGAGCAGACAGAGACCAGGTCGCAGCCCCTGAATACACCCACCCGTGGTAGAGGGATCCGCCAGAGGTATCTGCAGGATAAGAGCCTAATGTGAAGAGGCGGATGGGTCCGAGCAGGACGGATGGATGGCTGAGCAGAAGCGTGGTCAGACAGGCCGGGTCGGTAACCATGGGGACAGCGCGGTACAAGACAGCAGGCAGAGAATAGTCGGGTCACTCGCCGGGTCAGCAACGGGAGGTCAAATCCAATAAGGGGCATCCACAGAGAGGTCAGGCAAGCCAGGGGTCAGGGCAGGAGAAGACAGCGTGATCAGGATCAATCAGGGTCGGCAGCAATCAATCAGCACAGATAACAGGGGCAGGAACAGCAGATAAGACCATACGGCAAGCAGTGTCAGTGTAGAGTGGATTTAAATACCGCGCCCTGCACTGTCATTGGTGCCAGGCACACGCCCACGGTCACGAGTTCCGCCATGGCCGCCCAGGACCTAGTGCCCGCACGGCAGTGCGAATTGGCACACTGTGCCTGCGCCAAGCCACACACCGCTGTGTTTCCTGACAGAAGCAGTCTGCATGCCTAGGGGCTTGATTGTATACACCCGTGGCCATGGAGGGGATTGGGAACACCTGAATCACATGATATGGAGGGGATTGGAACACCTGAATCACATGATTGGGAGGGGATTGGAACACCTGAATCACATGATTGGGAGGGGATTGGAACACCTGAATCGCATGATTGGGAGGGGATTGGAACACCTGAATCACATGATTGGGAGGGGATTGGAACACCTGAATCACATGATTTGGAGGGGATTGGAACACCTGAATCACATGATTGGGAGGGGATTGGAACACCTGAATCACATGATTTGGAGGGGATTGGAACACCTGAATCACATGATTGGAGGGGATTGGAACACCTGAATCACATGATTGGGAGGGGATTGGAACACCTGAATCACATGATTGGGAGGGGATTGGAACACCTGAATCACATGATTTGGAGGGGATTGGAACACCTGAATCACATGATTGGGAGGGGATTGGAACACCTGAATCACATGATTTGGAGGGGATTGGAACACCTGAATCACATGATTGGGAGGGGATTGGAACACCTGAATCACATGATTGGGAGGGGATTGGAACACCTGAATCACATGATTGGAGGGGATTGGAACACCTGAATCACATGATTGGGAGGGGATTGGAACACCTGAATCACATGATTTGGAGGGGATTGGAACACCTGAATCACATGATTGGGAGGGGATTGGAACACCTGAATCACATGATTGGGAGGGGATTGGAACACTAGAATCACATGATTTGGAGGGGATTGGAACACCTGAATCACATGATTTGGAGGGGATTGGAACACTAGAATCACATGATTGGGAGGGGATTGGAACACCTGAATCACATGATTGGGAGGGCTAGCTCGATACTTCTGGCAATACAGTGTATGTAATTTTTGCTCTTGGATTTAGATACACTAAGCCAGGCTTTCCATGGAACTCTGGGGTTCCTACAGAGGTTACTAGGGGTTTCTTGAGCAATGGCTAAAGACAGACCTGTGGCCATGGAGGGGATTGGAACACGTGAATCCAATGATTTGGAGAGGTGTCCCAATACTTTTGGCAATATAGTGTACCTTAGCCCAGCATGTAAAATTCCAGAAAAGTCATATTATAGAAAGTAGGAGTCCTGCTGGAGACAGCAGAGGAATATGCAATTGATAATTGTAGCGCCCTGACAAATGTCCTGCATAAGATTTGTGATGTCTTTTTGTGGCCTAATAGTCAGGCCTGCCGTACTATCGGGATGACAAGTTAGATGTTTGTGCTGAAGGACATCATGTGCTGAGCACTGCAGGAATGGGGAGCCGGGAAGTTTATCGTAAAATGATTTTACAATTTGCCGTATATATTATACTCCCCGGTTATATCTCTCTGATGGAGGTACAAGGTCTTCTAGGAAGATCCTGACGCTGACATGATTCAATAAAGGTGAGTGACGTCTAGCCAAAAGGTTACAGATTCTTAGCCAATGGTGAAGGCCAGGGGCAGACGGACAACTCATGGGGCCCCCGGGCAATAGGGGATCACGGGGCCCCTGTGTCCTCACCCACACTCAAACAAGCCTATGAAAAAGGTACCAGTGGCATCTCACGGGGCCCTCTACTGACACGGGCCCTCAGGCAGTGCCCGAGTTTCCAAATGGTCAGTCCGCCCCTGGTGAAGGCCCTTTAGCCATGTAAGTAGACCTTTCCCTTCTGTTCTTAGTGGAAACTGGGTGTATAGTTTGGGTGTTTAAAGTCCAGTCTGTCCATTCCAAATGATCCGGTGACATTACCAGTCAGCAATTGATAAGTGATTGATTAGTGATTGGTCCTCGCATTTTACTCAACACACACATTTGTAAACAAGGTTGGGGGGGGGGGGAATTGAATGTCTTGTAATAAGTATTGAATTGTGAAACAAACTCAGCTGCACGTGTTGCAATGTGATGGTACAATCCTCTTTGTTCTGGTGGAAATGTACAGGAACGTAACATGTAGTCTTAAAAATCCATTCCGTTGTGTGATTGACGATTGGTGATGAGATATTGACATCTCGGCTGGGGTGATGTTATTTCTGCAAACACCCTAGCGCCAAAGAGTCATCTGGAGACGTGCCCGGAGTGTTAATGTCACGGTCGGGGCTCAGGCATGGAGACCAGTAGTTATAGCAGTAGAGAGGCTCCACCGACCAACAGGATAGGAACACAAGCAGGTCACCCTGGCAGATGATGTGGGATCACCCGAGGTGTGAGGTCTAAGCACTCACCGGTGTTCACCAGAGCTCCTGCTGGTGGAGATGGGTTTTGCGATGTGTTAGTACCAAGTAGCGGTCCTCATGATCGCCCCACCAGGAGGTAAGAAAGCCAGGGTCCAGTGCCAGATATAGCATTCAGGGATCAAGCCGAGGAACAATCCAAAGGTCAGTAACGAGTGATAGCAAAGATATGACTGGCAGCAGGAGTGATAAGAGCAAGATATTGGCTGGAGAGAGCTTGCTAATCCGGGAAACAGGAAATGCAAAAGCATGGCTTAAATTGGAAGTTCATGGGAGGAGCAAAGAGTTCCAAGGATCAAGAGAAACAAGACGCACAGCAAGGCTGTCTAATGAACCAGGCAGGGAGCTGTCTAGCATCTCAGGTGGCTCAGCAAGAAGAGATACCGCCAGACACAGCAGAGGTTGCAGGTTCAGATCTGGGTCCTGGCAGTTAAATCTCACTGGTAAAACATGGGAGAGCAAATAGTTGAAGGTTCAAGAGAAACAAGACACAAGGCAAGATTGTCTAATGAACCAGGCAGGGAGCTGTTCAGCAGCTTAGGTGGCTCAGCAAGAAGAGACACCGCCAGACACAGCAGAGGTTGCAGGTTCAGATCTGGGTCCCGACAGTTAAATCTCACTGGTAATAAATGGGAGAGCAAAGAGTTCAAGGTTCAAGACAAACAAGGAAAGGTTGTCTAATGAACCAGGCAGGGAGCTGTTCAGCAGCTTAGGTGGCTCAGCAAGAAGAGACACCACCAGCCGCAGCAGAGGTTGCAGGTTCAGATCTGGGTCCTGACAGTTAAATCTCACTGGTAATAAATGGGAGAGCAAAGAGTTCAAGGTTCAAGACAAACAAGGAAAGGTTGTCTAATGAACCAGGCAGGGAGCTGTTCAGCAGCTTAGGTGGCTCAGCAAGAAGAGACACCACCAGCCGCAGCAGAGGTTGCAGGTTCAGATCTGGGTCCTGACAAATAAACCTCACTGGTAAAAAAAAATGGGAGTGCAAAGAGTTCAAGGTGCAAGACAAACAAGACACAAGGCAATGTTATCTAATGAACCAGGCAGGAAGCTGTCCAGAATCTTAGGTGACTCAGCAAGAAGAAACCTGGCCTCCACACAACATTCCTGGCCGTTGACCTTTACATCCCCAAAGGAAGGAATGTCCACAAAAAAAATAGTTTGCTGCAATTCACTGACTGAATTTTGGAAATGGCATAACAGTCAAATCACATCGACATACATTCCGGAGTCACTTGACATTACACAGTTAGTGGACGGTCCGCCGTAGTCACAAGTGAAAGCATATGCGACACCTTTAGCAGCCACCTTCCTTACAGTCTCTCCTCTACAAAGGGTCATTCGTACTCACAGGACTGGGCTCTCTCTAGTCACCCTCCTCGCTATGTACACCTCTCCCGGGACCCTCCAGGGGGGCAGCCTCACACAGGAAACTCTTGGCCTGGCCTGAAAGGCCTTTTGCAATCTGCCCTAGCCCCCACCTCTATAAAGGGACAGAAAGACTACAGACGGCTCTTCTACACCTCCTGGCCTCCTGCCCTATCCAGGGCCCTCATGTGCTGGTTACATCCCTATAAGTGTGAGGTGTTTAGCTCCCATGCCCCAAGCGTGTGTGTGTGCTTCCCCTACCTGATTAATATATGGGTGCCGACTCACCCCTGACATCACTGTGGGGGGCGCTCTACCTATAAGGGGCCTAGCACCTGATGACACCATCTGCTGTAACCAGACACTATTCTCGTACAGCGCCACCTAACGGCAAAATGGCTAACTGCATCTGCCTACAAGCTGCCAACACCCCATGGCACACAGTGTGCGTTGCGGTTTGCCACAGTAAAAAAAAAAGGTAATTTTTTTTTTGTGCATTAGATACACTATCATCCCATTAAAAATGAATGGGCTCGCTTAATGCGCGCTCAAATGTTGCGTCAACCATAGCAAGATCGGGCCCTTAGGTTTCGGAACAGAAGTGTCACAGAAGGAAATCACACGGGTTACTCATTATCCAGGAATGTAAAACGCATGAGTGCTTTTAAAAGCCGAACTACGCTCTCCGGCGCCCGATCCTCCATCCATCGCGCTTCATGCCACACGAGGGTATCGATTACACACCACTTTGCAGAAAGACAAAAGCATTGATCACGGGCTGCCCCCAACCAGTTCTTACACACAGAATATGGCATTTTACAAACCAATATGACACCCGGTAACCATCACTGACAAAAATCAATAAACAAACAAATGTACGCTGGAAGGGGCCGTAAACTCCGCGAGGAGATACAAGCCCATCGTTTGTCTGCAGCGCACTCATGTAACCGCTTTCCTTTCCTGCAGCAAAACATCCGCCTCGCCTTCATTTATTTCTTTTCAGAATTATAGCACCCAAGCTCACTTTACAGAACCTTCAAATTCTCGAAATATAAATTTTATTTTATTGGACATTTTTTTTTGTATATTATTATTTTCAGTCTTATTTTATTCATTGTTGCCAAGTCAAGAAGCATTCTGGTAACACACTGAATGGTGCGAGCTGCGCATGAAGAGGACAAGGACACATCTGTGCTGCAACCTATGATTTACATAGAAGAATGGCCGACCATTAATTATGTCTGACTTCGCAGAACAAATGGAGTTCAACGGCAACAAATAAAATCGTGTAGAAAACAGAAAAAGGGAACAAAATACCTCTCCACTCCTCTAACAATACTACTTCACACTACTGCGACTTGTCATGTGACATTGGACGCAAAGTGGCACTTCGATTTCTGAAAGCACTCTTCGTTTACAGAAAATTAAAGTGTAAAGCAGTGCGGCGCTCAAACCAGAAAAAAATGTTACATCAAATTACTTTTTACTTATATTTAGCCCTTTCACCACCGTATATTATATAGCCCAGACAGCCAGAACTCATATAAAAAAAAATAATAAGCTGGTGGTATCATACACTCAAAAACTTCTCGTGCACTATAGTGACTTAAAAACACAATACAGTGAATGGTGTCCATGTGCATAAGATATCATGCAGGTGTGAACTGCAGGTGCCAATCCTCAGATAGGTGGAGTGCCCCCTCACCTTCCTGCCCAGGCCCCTAAGGACCAATGAGCCTTTTGGTATAAAATGGGTCTTTCCCCTGGAATTGGATGGATCCTTCAGATGGTGGGTCCTTCAGGTAATGATGGTGGGACTCCCCTCCTCTTGTCTCTAATCTCGGATCGTTGGTGGTATCGATAAATACCCCTCCCAAGTGGTCACCAATAAGGCAAAAAGAACTTACATAGTGTAAAACCGCTTTAATGGATCAATAATAAAACAGAGATCTACTCACATGCTCATTCATTACAAACAGGCCTTCACACCACTCAAAGGGTGTACTGCATTCAGGCAAAGGAGCACCAAGATGGCGCCCGCGCCGGATATGACGTCAGAACGTTCGGTCATATAGGTTCCTCCCACTGGCGTATCTACGCGTTACGTCACTTTG